ATAATTATCACTTACTTGAAGAGTGGGTCAGCTTTACCCATTTGATGTTTTGCTTGCTCAAAAGAATTAATAAAAAGCACTCCTGAAAATTTCTTGGTTATTGATGTGAAGATATGACCCCTTCAGCTTTTACATACCAGTCCTGGTGAAATTCAGTTTCGGCTGGCTATTCCAACCTGCGTTACATCAACACAAAGTTAGAGTATAGCCATAATAGTTTGGTTTCCCTTTTGAGTAAGTATGACACTTCATAGCTTCCTTGGAGCAGGAACAAAGGCAGTTATTTTATCTTTAATCTTCTATATGGACTTTTGCTGCTGGAGTCCAGTAGGCAAATAATCCTATGTAGTATACTTAGTATTTGATACTTCACCAAAAATTTGAAAGAGGGACTTGCTGTCAATCAAGAAATCTGAATTGCTAACAAGGATGCGACCCAAATACCTCTATGCTGAGTTTAAGGTGCTCTGGACATTGCACACCTCTTGAACAGCATGGAAGCAGCCATCCTCTATTGTCGGTTCCCTTAGCTATCTCAAAGCGTCTTCCTGGTGCAAAGAAGTTCATCATATTCAAAAGTAACTGAAATCTCTTGCAGAAATATCCACTTCCTTTTTATCTAACTAAGCACTAAGATTTAGTTGACCTCCTGCTAAAAAGGCGTATTTTCTATCAGACTCTCTTACTGTAACTGCTTTAAGCTAGTTCCTCTAGGGCTTCAGTCAGTTAATAAAGAATTTCAGTTCTAGCCTCCTAGTTTTGTTTCTGTTGGAAAAACATTTCCTAGTTTCTCCTCTTTTTTCCTCTACCCCTAATACCTACAGAATGAAAGAGGCCTGGTTTCATACCCAGGAATCATTTGTTGTAATCATACATATATATATATATATTTTTTTTTTTTTTTTAAGTTTCTTTTTTTGATGACCTTGAACAGGTTTAGTCGTTCATCAGCCTTTTACTCGGTGATGGAGACAGCAGTGCCAACATTTATTTTACTGTCTTTTATTTGCCTCAGTTGGATTGTATCTAGGTGAACCATATTATTTGTGGCTACTCCATTCCACAGTAGCACACAGTACCTTCATTTTGTCCTGTGATGTTTAGTCTGACCTAAAAATTATATTTTTATCTAATCTAGAAATCAAGACTTATTTTTAAAGGCTTCTCATACCTCTGTTTTGAATATTTCCTTCTCTTATAGTGCTCATTTATGCTTCCCAAGACAAGGAAGATTTTATTTTCAATTTTAAATCAAACTGAAAACTAAAACTGGTACTTCCATTTGGAAAGAATTTAAATAAAAACAAAAGGGAATCAATTAAAAACTAAGCTTTAAACTAACAGTGGAAAGCATTCATCTTAAAGAGGTCTTTGCTCCATTTACTGGTGCATTTCAAGAATTATTTTCATGTTTTCTGGAGATAATTAGAAGCAGATAGTTCTCCACAGTAATATTTTTAAAAATCTTTCTGCTTACTTTTAATCTTAATTTGTTTTGGACTTTAATCCCTGGCAAAGTGGGGTATTACATGATGCATTGGTTTACAGAAAAATGTAGAAGTTTCATTTGCTTATAGTTTTAGACTCTTCCTCTAAGATGGTAATTCTTAATAGTTCTGGAATCTGGACATTTCAGCATGTTGTCTGCAGACTACTTCTTCAACATGGCTCTGCTTTTTAAATGTTTATTTCAATTGTGTGATAGTTTTGACTTCAGAATTAGGAGTGCAGGGAATGGAGGTGATCTTTCCTAATGTTCCACCAAGAAAATAGCTGTATTAAGCTGTCTTCAGTTTACAAATTATAAAAGAACATAATTCTGGTATTTTGCATTTAGTCTTAACAAAAATCCAACTTATTTTGGGTGATAGTGTTAGCAGAGGCAGGTCACTATAACTGAATGTTGAGTTATGGTTTTTTTCTTTTCTTTTGTTTTTACAAGAAAGATTTACCCATTTTGCTCACATCCTAGTTCAGATTATGTCACAGAGCCAAAATTTGCTTAATTTATTAGCCTTTTAGGTGGAATTCACAGCATAGTGGAAAATGTTTGCAGATAATTCTGTGCAATAGTAGAAACTTCAGTTGATTCCTCGTATTTCTTCAGGGCAGTGATCACAACCAGATTCAACGTATGCACAAAGCAGCGGATACCATGGTAGCGGCCGTCGCTGATTGCTTTTACCATGTTGGATCCATTGTCAGTCTCAAAGACCTACTTCCAGCTAGGTGCCTTGAACTCAAATAGCTTTTCCCACAGACTTCAGGATGTGAGCTAAGGTATGGCCTTTTTTCATGAGCTGGGCCTACATATGGGTTGACAGTAACCTGCAACTTTTACAGAAAAGAGACTACTGGCTGTAGTTTAATATTAGACAATGACTAGTTGTAGTCATCGGTAGGCAGGGAGTATGTGTTCTTCATATATTTGAAGTACTCTTGCCTTTTGGGCATTCTCCCTTTTTCTCCTGTATGTTTTCGTCAAGAAGATGATTCACGTAAAAATTTCTCATTTGAGCCTGGTGTAAAGGTCTAAAATATATCTGTTTTATGAGTTACTATTATCTTTAAAATGAGATATATAAGATCATTTTTTTCACACATTTGATATAAAAAATAACATTTTTTAAACTTGTAGATTTTTGTACTTTTTTAACATTTTTTTAAATTGGTGGTCAAAAAAATTTATAAAATTTACCATCCTGACTATTTGAACTATTTTAATAACAGGAATGTCTCCTACTAATCATCTTTTAAGAACTGGAATTAGGAAATTGGTATTCATGTATAGGGCTTGAAATTTAGAATGAGTACTTTTTCCAAGGGTAACTTGCTCTAAATTGCATTGATGCAGTTTACTGTCCATGCCAGACATTCTTATTTGTTCAAGGAGAAAGTACCCTAATTCTGGAAAAATGAGCTTCACTTCCATATCTTTCTTCTCTGCTTGGCAAGATGTGTTTCTTAAGTGAAATCTTTATTGAGCGTATAATGGATCAACTGATGACAGGTTTTAGGAAACCATCTTTTATTTTATTATGGCTATAACCATAACTCTTCTGGTTTTTCAAACTACTTACTGTTGTTTTCCTATTATGGTCAGTGGCCCTATTACTTAAGAATTTTTTAAGCCCTGGTATTAGAGGAAGAATCATTTACAATTGGCAGGGAGAGAGAGTACTTATAAATACAAAAGGAGTACTGTCAAGCAGTTTATGTACTTTTCTTGGCCCTCATTGTTTGTCACTGATTGTGAATAGCTGTTGGTAAATGCAGAAATTAAGAATCTGTTGGAGCTTATCTACCAGAATTATATCTTTAAGAAAATCTCAACTTTATAGCTATAAAAGACCCAATATCTTGTTTGATTCTAGCACTTAAAATGCCGCTATTTCAATCTTAAAATATTCATTCACTATATTCTCCTTACATATACATGCAAACGTATATGTTCATATACACGTGTACACATGCAGGAGTTGATGACTGAAATGATGTTCAATATAACATCTACCAAATGGTCCTGAGTGACAAAGGAAAGTTGACCGTGTGTTCTCTGTGACTTCTTCTACCTCAGGGAAGATAAGAAGAGCATAGGAGAAAAGGCAATAACCCAGTGACACATTAAGTCATCTTGCCAGGTTAAGCAATATATACCTTATAGTTAAAAATGTCTGTGGATACTCGTTTTTTCACACACTATGGGAATCAATTCAAAACACATGCATAATACTATGTATGTTTACCCTTGCTACCCACCTGAGTAGCACTTCTTAATTTACCTCTTATTATCTCCTAAAGTTAAGCACTGCATTGCTTCTGAGTAGATTTTTGTCTTTGTGATAAGGAACAGTTCATTTATACATAAATAACCATATCATTTTGTTAAGGACTCTTCTACCTCTTGTCAGTCTTTGTATAGTTCTCTAAGGCTCCATGCCCACTTTGTGAAATACTGTTTTAATAAAATTGCCAAGTCGTTTTGTTGGTAGGTATACAACTAGAAAAATAAGTGATACGTAGTCTAGATCGTACCTTAGCATGAATATTTTAAACAACTTTATTTATATGTGATTTCAGTTCGTATTATCTATTTAATGTATTAACAAAGATGTAAATTTTAGTATATAAGATGTAAATTTTTAGTATCTAAGCAATAGTGTAATGATTATTATGTAAATAATATATGCTGAGAGTTGAAATAGAAAAAAGGATATTGATATTCACTTGTTATTTTCAGTGACTGTTATGATAAAATTCTGTATTCATCTAGAAAATTTAAAGAAACATTTTGATGCCTTATAGACTGAGACATTGTTGTGGTACATCCTATTATGATGTAAAATTTGATACAAGGTTGGGTACCTTTTAGACCCCGAATAGGTAATGCCCCTAAAACTTAGTGTTTAAATACAGTTTCGATGTATAAGAGCACATTATATTAAGATACCTAGCAGTGAACTTGTGTTTAACTCTGGAATATTTCTTTTATTTTTCCCCTTGGGAATTAATACATTTACTGTGAGTGAAATACAAATACTGTTAAGGTGAAAAACTACATATGGTCCTTTGATTCCCAAGTCTTAGAAGACAGAGGATAGACTTCTGTTACTTTTAGATAATAGAAGTGACTTCTCTACTTCTAGGTATTTATAATTAGTGTAAGTGTGTTTTTAAAAGTGTGAATCCAAGGACGTATCAGGTATCTGGGTCTTCTTACAGTATGGTGTTTCTACAATGTTTGTTTGTTTGTTTGTTTATTGCATTTGAAGGAAAAACCTACCCAAAACTTTATTTATTATGCTAGGCATTATTGTATGACTTCAAAAGCAACAATGAATATAGTTTAAACTATTTCTGCTATATATCATATGTATGTCAAATGAAATGACACTATCCTTCTGCTTTTAACCACTTTTTTACTTACAGAGGTACTTATTTTTCAATTCTAAAATCTTCGTTTTCCTTGCATTTCTTTCCATATAAAAAAAAAAATTCAGATCTAAAAGGGAAAATGTTAAAACAGGAGTAAAACCAGATGCATCTGATCAAGAACCAGAAGGACTTACGCTGTTGGTACCAGACATCCAGAAGACTGCTGAGATCGTCCATGCAGCTACCACCAGTTTGCGGCAGGCCAATCAAGGTATAGCACTGCCACTTCTCTGCTGTTTTTCTTTGGATCCGGAGATGTTTCGTTTACTTCTGAAAACTCCCTTTCTTTTTCTTCTGTGTTAATGGTTTTCAAGCAAGTTCCTTTACCTAAAAATTTGTTGTCAGGTTTTCAAATTAATCATGAATAGCCTCTAATTTTAAAATATTTCTATTATGTATGATTAATCCTAGATTCGGTAGGCTAACAACATGCATCCTGATTTTCTCTTCTTGTTGGTAGTTGTGAAATTGAAAAATGCCATCATATTGGATAGGAAGGAATACATGAAGACAATGTGTGAGAATTTAGTTTAAATTGGTATTTTCATGTCTTAGCAATGGGAGATACAAATAATTCTGTATTATCTATTGTTTTGCTTCTGCTGTTTTGCCTGATTGGATAAAACTAATTAACATTTTAAGAATTTAAGCTTTAAAGTTGATAAGGGTCTTAGCCCTATAAGTTAGTTATGTTTATGAAATAGAAATCTTTTATTCTTAAATGGGTACAATAGGAAAATAATTGTGAAGAATTGGGTAACTTTTTGGAATTAAAACTTTGAACTCTTGAAGTTAATTGTTTTTGTTTTAATCTTTTAAAATGTATGCTTATGTTATTTATCTTGAAATATTAAATAACAGAAAAAAAACTAGGTGAATATTCAAAGAAGGTGGCTATGAAACCCAAACCTTTATCAGTGTTGAAATCACTTGAAGAAAAATATGTGGCTGTTATGAAGAAATTACAGTTTGGTAAGTTGAAGTTTTAATCTTCGTTTCTTGAGATCTCCTTTCACATTGTGTAATAGTGCTGCTGAGATGTGTTCTAGTAAATTAAAGATTTTAAAGGTTCCTCATACCATGAATCATTCATACCCTATGTATATGTGTGTGTGCACACAGTATGTAGAGAGTATAAATATGTATGCGCACACATGCAAAAATTTTTATCATTTTATCTCTGGATTTATATATTTTTAGTTATATTTGGGAATCATGATTCTTTAGAAACCTAGGGGGAAAAAAAACCCCAAATCAAATGTCTAACGAACAGGCAGAAAGGGCTTTCTTTCTTTAAGACCTCTCCATTTCTTTAAAAAAAAAAAAAAAAAAAAAGACCTCTCCATTTCTGTATATCCTGGCCTAAAGGAAGCTAAGGCCTGAGACTTTTAACGAAGTCTGTTACTGTTGCCATTTTAGAATTCCATGAGATTTGCCTTTGGAAAGTACAGTTAATGTAGAGTTCTCTTGTAGCCTTTCCTATTCCAAAACTCTTGACAAGTAAAGACTGAAGAATACAGCCTATCAGTCCCTCCCATAAGGTGCTAGCCTATAAATAAACACTAAAATTCCAAATTTTGGTGACCATTAGTAACTGTTATTGTCTGTGCCTCTTTTCCACCCTTGAGAACCAGCCAAAGGACTTGGACTATATGAAAAACAACACTAAAGCAAGAGTTGTCTACTGTCTGAAACTTGCGTTTCAAAGCTTTTTAGCTTTTGCTCTACCTTACCTCCCAGGTTTGCAATAAAAATCACATACAGTAATATATCTGAAAATGATAAAGCACTCAGACCGTTGAAAGGTCTTGTTCATCATTTTAAGATTGGAAGAATTGAGGGCGCCTGGGTGGCTCAGTTGGTTAAGCGACTGCCTTCGGCTCAGGTCATGATCCTGGAGTCCCAGGATCGAGTCCCGCATCGGGCTCCCTGCTCAGCAGGGAGTCTGCTTCTCCCTCTGACCCTAACCCCTCTCATGTGCTCTCTCTCATTCTCTCTCTCTCAAAATAAATAAATAAAATCTTTAAAAAAAAAAAAAAAAAATTGGAAGAATTGAGGTGAAGTGTATATACTGTTATTCAGAAAGAATGTAACATTTTTGTCAATGGATCCATGTTTTTGGAAAATTGTGCCTGCCATTGATAGGTTGTGACCATTTTGTTTAATAAACACTTGAATTCAGGGGGCTCCTCAGTTGGTTAGGGGTCCAACTCTTGATTTCAGCTCAGGTCATGATCTCAGGGTCATGGGATTGATCCCCTCGCCAGTCTCCACACTCAGCAGGGAGTCTGCTTGAGATTCTCTCCCTCTCCCCCCACCTCCACGTAATTGTACGTGTGCTCTTGCTCTCTAATAATAAATAAACCTTTAAAAAATAATAAAAACAAACACTTGAATTCAGGAAAATATAATAACTACAAATGATTATGAAAGTAACAGAAATATTGCTATAATTTTAAAGTTGCAAGACACCAAGAAGAAATGCTATACAAATACAACATGAATCCTAGATACCCTCCAAGGGTTATCATACAAAGGAATATGAAAATTACTGGGGAAAGCCACACACATACAAGGATCAAGTATGATCCTTGTAGCCACATTCAATATCACAATTAGCAGGAAAAGGAGTCTCAGAGTTTAAATAGATAATTTTTTGAATCAAATGAAAGCCTTTGTGTAGTTACAATTTGATTAATGTATTTTGTTGCAAATCTTGTAAAATTAAATTCACTATATCATGTAGAATAAAACAGCTGAAGTAGACTGGAGATAGGTCAAGAGCTGTCAGTAGCATTGCATTAAAATGAAATACTTGAGGGGTGCCTGGGTGGCTTAGTTGGTTAAGCGTCTGCCTTCAGCTCAGGTCATGATCGGGGAGA